AATATTCCACATAATAATCTGGATCCAGAACCAAAGTCAATAACAGAGTGCCAGAAGCGCTCTGACTGGTTGAAGTGGAAACAGGCAATTGAGGCAGAGTTCAACTCGCTTAATCAAAGAAAAGTGTTTGGTCCCACCGTACTTACCCCAAAAGATGTGATCCCATTAGGATCTAAGTGGGTATTCGTACGAAAGAGGAATGAAAATAATGAGGTGGTTAGATATAAAGCGAGATTGGTAGCTTAGGGGTTCACGCAGAGACCCGGAATTGATTTTGATCAAACATACTCTCCTGTTATTGATGACATTTCATTCCGCTATTTAATATCACTGACAGTAAATATGAAATTAGATATGCAGTTGATGGATGTAGTGACAGCTTACCTTTATGGGTCACTAAATGCTGATATATACATGAAAATATCCGAGAGTATTCAAAATTTCAATATAAGGGAGAAAGATCGAAACATGTATAGCATCAAACTTCAAAGGTCATTATATGGCTTGAAGTAATCCGGTAGAATGTGGTATAATCATTTTAGTGAATTCCTCCTGAAGAAGGGATATGAGAAAAATGATATTTGTCCTTGTATATTCATTAAGAAGTCATCTAATGGCTTCTGTATTATATCTGTCTATGTCAATGACATGAACCTTATTGGGACAAAGGAAGATCATCTAGAAGCATGTTTCATGCTTAAAGGCAGAATTCGAAATAAAAGATTTGGGAAAAACCAAGTTTTTGTCTCGGCCTGCAGATCGAGCATCTCCCCAATGGAATTTTCATTCACCAAGCTAACTATGTTAATAAATTATTGGAGAAATTCTATATGGAGTCCAATGGTAGTCCGGTCCCTTGAAGTGGAAAAGGACCCATTTAGACCTAAGGAGGATAATGAGGACGTACTAGGGCCTGAAGTTCCTTACCTAAGTGCTATTGGAGCCTTGCTTTATCTGGCTAATTACACTAGACCGGATATTGCATTCTCGGTGAATTTACTTGCTAGATATAGTGCTTCTCCAACTAGAAGACATTGGAGTGGAATAAATCATATCTTTAGATATCTCAAAAGGACAAAAGACCTTGGTTTTTATTTTGAAAACAACCAAGACATTACTTTGACGGGGTATTTAGACGCTGGTTATATGTCTGACCCTCATTGTAACACCCCTAAATTTCAAGATATTTAAAACCTATAAAATAATGGCTAATCTCTTATTAATTCCCAAACAGAGCATAAACTAGACATAGTAGTCGGGGTGCTATGCCACATCTGAGCTGGAGAACTCAGATGCACAGGCTAAACTAACTAACAAAGCATAAACCTTAACTAATACCCAAATACAAATCAAGGCATGCAGACCATCTCATCCAGGCTAGAACTATCTAAACTAAGTCCACGAATCCACTAGCGCGCTCCGAAGCCACTCACTGTCCCTGAAAAACATTCGGTATAACAACCGTCAGCGAATAATGCTGGTAACCCACTCCAACGCGTTAAGTACAATATAGGTAGATATAAGAAACTCATTTTGAAACTGGAATACATATATAATCCTGAGTAACTCTAATTTAAATCCGAGAACAGACTCAACAATCAATAGCAAATACATTCAATATAATTAAACATAAAGATTCTAACATGCATCCTAAGGTCACAAGACTACACAATACAAACAATATCTATACCCAGTTATCATCACAGTCAAACAATCAACAATAAGACACATATTGGTGCACACACATATGGTGGTGCCGCAGGACCATTCACATGACCCAAACCTTGAGTTCCATTGCCAAGGGGTCAGTGCATATAGCTCTGACATGGCCCTGCAGCACTTTAACTTGTACCACAGCACAAGGAAGAACCAAACAATTGATCGCAACCAATCAATGAATCGCAGCTCATTCATATCATAAATGTTTGATCGCAACCAAACTATGGACCGTAGCCCTATTATCATATATGTCTAATTGCAACCAGACTATGGACCGCAGCCCTATTAATATATATAACAGCCGATTGTTCTCAACCAATCCAACTGCCTGTATAGCCGACCGATCGCAACCGATCGGGTTAATACCTGGTTGTTCTCAACCAACCAGATAGTCATTATAGCCAATTGATCGCAACCAATTGGGTCATCATGCACAACAACATAGAAGCCAATCAACAAGCAACCCACATTAACACATAACGAGGGGGAATCATCGGGGAACACGTAACCCAACATAACTCATCCATAACAAATCACATTAACCCACCCACGACACTCCTACGGGATCATACAACTACCTCCTAGGCCAACGGGATACCAATTCAACTCGCATGCAACACACAAGACTCTTTTATCCTAAGAACGGTACTCGATACATCAAACTAGACTCACAAACACCGATGGGGTACAACGGGACACAGCCACACAGGGAAACAACAAACTGGGGAAAACATCACATTACCCACCAACTTTCCAGCGGGTGGAAGACTACCCGCCGGTCACCTGCCGGTGGCGGCTTCAGTTCCAGCGGGTGCCCGGCGGGCAGTCGCTTGCCCGCTGGGAACTGGGCAAGGGGGCAACGAGTAGGTGGTGGGCACCCCTGCCCCCACCTACCCCCACTGACTCATATGTAATATTTCGGTCCCGGGATCTTTCGTGGAACCCAAAACCATGTCCAGACACATTCAAACATAAACGACAACACCACGTATTCAAGTAACGGAATTAAACCAAGAATCTCACCAAATACACCCTAACACGATTCCTAAACATGTCAAGACTCAACATAAATCACATAACGATCCAGGGACATCTGAGATCACAAGAACATCAAGAAACCTATATGCAAAGTCCTAGACACAAGTCCTAGACTAGACTCAACACCCGATCATGCAACATCCCACCCAAATATACCAAGAATGTTATAATACGAAATCCACGTTACAACCCTAGGGCTCTAGACATAATCAAAATACCAGACTGTTCATATAATTTATCATAGTATCAAGAACGTCAAGATTACCACATAAGCATCAAGATCAACACATAAACATCAAGATTATCACATAAACACAATATAAACCCTAGGCAAAGCTCTATCAAGACTCAAGCACCGAATCATATATCAAAGGAGCCAATGAATAAGATATAGCAAGGAAAATAGGTTTTGTTGAGACATGGGTTACCTCTTAGCCTTAATCAATATCCTTGGCTACTAAGGTTCTTTCTCTAAGATCTTCTTTCCATGGGTTCTCATATGTTTGATGTCAGGGGGTTTCTTTGTGGGTTTCTTTCGGAAAATATCTCGTGTGGTAGAATTAACTGTGGTAGGGTTTCTAAATGCTTCTTAGGTCCCTATATATATATATATATATATATATATATATATATATATATATATATATATATATATATATATATATATATATAGGAGTCCTAACTAGGGTCTGAATAGCAAGAGTCCACCCATCCTATTCCTTGTAGGATTAAGGATTTGGGTTTTAAGGATAAGGGTCCATGATCCATGGTGGGCCACATTAATTAATTAAAGGGATCCTAACTCAATTAAATCCTTCCTACTTATTATTAACGGTAATCAATTAAATAATTAGTTCGGGTTAGAGGCCGTAACACGGAGTGTTACACTCATACTGCTAAATCGCAAACTGGTTATGTTTTCCTTTCTGGAGGTACAACTATATCTTGGAGGTCTATTAAATAGACCTTTGTGGCTACCTCATCTAATCACTCGGAGATAATTGCTTTATATGAAACCGCACGCGAATGCGTATGGTTGAGATCACTGATACAGCATATCCATCGCTCATGCGGAACAATGAGCAATGTTGATTTCCCGACTGTCCTATATGAGGACAATGCATCATGTGTTGCACAGATGAGTAATGGGTACGTTTAAAGGAGACCTTACTAAACATTTTCTCTCCTAAATTCTTTTACCCACATGAACTCTAGAAGAGTGGTGAGATACTCATTGAAAAAGTTCGCTCTAGTGAAAATCTGGCAAATTTGTTCACTAAGTCCTTGCTTACATCCACCTTTGAGAAGTATGTTTATAAAATTGGGATGCGAAGGCTAGGAAGACTGTTGTCTTCCGTGGGAGCGATAAACTCTAAAGTTTAAATCCGGAAGATGATGCCCGGAAGGCTTACGATTATACTCTTTTTCCCTTAGCTAAGTTTTTCTCACACTGGATTTTCTTAGGCTAAGGTTTTTAACGATGCAACCGGATGCAGCACATACTTTATACTACATGTACTCTTTTCCTCGAGAAGGTTTTTCCCACAGGATTTTTCTAGCGAGGTTTTTAATGAGGCATGGGTATAGTCATTTAATGACCAAGGGGGAGTGTTATAATTATTATACTTATGGCCATTAAAATGTAAAGACTCTTCATTTGCTTTCCATTATTTATGTTATGTATGTAGTTGAAGGGTTGTATGAACCATTATATAAATGGGTGAAAGCTAAATGATACAAACACACATTTTGTGGTGCCCAACATTTGTTCTTCTTCTTCTTTTTCTTTTCCTTTTCTCTCTTCACGTACACAAACATACATATACATACGCAATTCCGGTGTATAACCGTGCAAGCATTACGCGAGAACCCGTAGTTGATATGCCGAAATAGAACAATAATAATGGTAATTAAGAAAAGTTGGTGAGGGCATAATTGTCCTACTTGTTTTTCATGGAAAACAAAATACCAGGGAGAACCATGTAAAATGTTTTCTTCATTTTTGAGGAAAATATTTGTTAATGGAAAATGTTTTCCATGAACCAAACAATGGAAAATCTAATTCCTCAAATTAAAGTCCAAACATGCCCTTAGGGTTGAAGAGTACAATTTCAAAAATGGTCCTGCCTGTTTGAAACTTTGAACAGGCCATCTGGTTCCAAACATCATATCGACCGTCGATTAGAATCCTTCTAAACCAACGGCCAACTCTTCAAGCAACGTTCAAAAATTCAAAATCTCTTCCCCGTCCCTCTTTCAATTCCAGATCTCTCTCTCTCTCTCACTCACACACACACACACACACACACACACACAAGCAAACGCTCTGGTCGGGGCGAGAATGTCGGGCCGACATGAGAAAGAGAAAGGCGTAAATGTTCAGGTTCTGCTTTGATGCAGGTACTGTTGACACATACAAAGCATACTCCTAAATACATGGCTAGATTTTTCATTTCTACTTATGATTTTCTGTTTTTCATTTCCGTTTCTTCGTATTTTGAAACTTGATGGATTTTGCAGGCCATTTAGCGAGGATGAGCTGAGGAACAATGCGCCGCAGGTGGTGACCTGCAATGAGTACCAGAGAGAAGTGGCAGTTACGCAGAACATTGCTGGGAAGCACATTGATAGGGTTTTTACATTTGACAAGGTATCTTTTACAGAGATGGGTATTTATTAGACATTATTATGTTGTTCTCTTTATTTATAGTTTTGTTTTAAGCTTCTGATTCTTGGGGATGTATAGTTTGTTTTTTGTATTTAGGAGCTTATAGTATTGTGACCCATTTCTCTGGATTCAGTTCCATATAGATGGATGGATGAAAGATATTCCCTTCTAAAGTAATCTTGAGTCGATTTTTCACAGTAATTGCAAAACAGAGGAATGTAAAAGACTTAATGGAATGGTTCTTTACTTATGTTCCAATTTGATTATAGATGTCACTGGGCATACCTTTGTTTTTCTTTTTATTTTTCCATTCAATAGGGATACTAATGAAATTATCACTTAAACATAGCCACTCATGTGACTAATGAGGCAATATTCATGCCCATTCAAAAGCTAAGATAATTGGTAATGTTGGGTTTCGAAAGATTTTCTTATAGTCTTTCTCTATGGATTTGATTCTGGTTCAGGTTTTTGGTCCCTCAGCTCAGCAAAGGGATCTCTATGAACAAGCAATTGTTCCCATTGTCAATGAAGTTTTAGAGGGTTTCAACTGCACCATCTTTGCTTATGGTCAAACTGGCACAGGAAAAACTTACACCATGGAGGGTGAATGTAAGAGGTCAAAGGTACTGTTCAATGAGGTTTTATTGTTACCCTTGCATCATCTCAAGAGGAACTAAGGTATTTTGTCACTGATTTGAGTCTTGCATTTACAACACAGAGTGGGCCTAATGGAGGGCTGCCTCAAGAGGCTGGTGTCATACCTAGAGCAATAAAGCAAATATTTGATACACTGGAGAGTCAAAATGCAGAATACAGCGTGAAAGTCACTTTCTTAGAGTTATATAATGAGGAGATTACTGATTTGTTAGCACCTGAGGACTTATCTAAAGTTGCTTTAGAGGACAAGCAAAAGAAACAACTGCCACTCATGGAAGATGGGAAAGGTGGAGTTCTTGTGAGAGGCCTTGAAGAGGAAATTGTGACTTCTGCTAGTGAGATATTCACTCTACTCGAGAGGGGATCAGCAAAGCGCCGCACTGCAGAAACCTTGCTAAATAAACAATCAAGGTGCTTGCCTGTGTATCTTTTTATTTTTTTTTATACATTTTATATTATTTGACTGTAATGTTTCTTTTACATTTTATCCTTTTAAAAGGTTTTATGCTAAATTTTTTGTTTATCTTTCAGTCGGTCACATTCGCTTTTCTCCATAACCATACACATCAAGGAAGCAACCCCTGAAGGTGAAGAACTTATAAAATGTGGCAAGCTAAATTTAGTTGATTTGGCTGGATCGGAGAACATTTCTCGTTCTGGTGCTAGGGAGGTAATTTGCTTGAAGTTGCCAGAGTTATAGATTGGCATTTGCTTTTGACTAATTTTTCTCATTTTTCAACCCCTTTATATAAAATGAAAGAAAAACCATTAATTCATTTATGTGTTCAGGGTCGTGCTAGAGAAGCCGGAGAAATAAATAAAAGTCTGCTTACTTTAGGGCGGGTGATTAGTGCTCTTGTAGAGCATTTGGGGCATGTTCCCTATAGGTAAATAGATTATTGGTCATTCTTTCATTTTAGTTATTTCCATCCAACTCCTGATTTCTTTTTGTAATGTTCACTTCCAACTCAGGGATAGCAAACTCACGCGTTTGCTCCGAGATTCACTTGGGGGAAGAACCAAAACATGCATTATTGCCACAGTGTCACCTGCTGTTCATTGTCTTGAGGAGACCCTTAGCACACTGGATTATGCACATAGGGCAAAAAATATAAGGAATAAGCCTGAGGTATATTGTGAAAGTAAAACTCCTAATTGTCATTTTCCCTGCATGTCAACAAGTGATGTGCTTGCTTAGTTATATCAAACTAGCATGTTATTTAAATATCAACAAGTTTAGAGCTATGAAGAAAGTCTTTTTAATTCAATTTCACTTACATGGTAATCTTTTCTTGATCATTTCAATTTCCTCTAAAAAATTGAGCCATTATTTTAGGTAGATTCAATATCTTTTGAGTTTTGCCACTAATAGTGATTACTTTTGTAGTATGCCAGATGACAACTAGTTAGCACTGATTTATTTGAATCTAGAATAAATGATTAATTTTAGCTTCTAGTGTCATCCTCTATTATGTTTGTCTATAGGTGAATCAAAAGATGATGAAGTCAACCCTTATCAAGGATCTTTATGGTGAAATTGAGCGGCTAAAGGGAGGTAGTGTTTTATCTATTGTGTTGTTGTTGTTGGGCTTCTTTTTTTTTTTTTTTTTTTTTTTTTTTTTTTTTTTTAAAGGGCTACATTTTGGTTGGTTCCACTGGTGTTTATTTTTCTCCCTTTTTATTTAGAGGTTTATGCTGCTCGTGAAAAGAATGGTGTCTACATACCTAAAGAACGTTACTATCAGGAAGAAAGTGAGAGGAAGGTATTGCATAGTTATTCTTTTTATTTTTCATAATAAATGCTTAGCCATTTAAGGCCCATAAGACCACCATGGTATAATGATGTTATTCTTTAATCTTTAGTGTTACCCCAAATTGTCAGTGAGTGTTTTAGTTGAGATTTATTGATATATACCTGCCCAGTAGTCTAGTTTTCCTTTTTTGAAATCTCTTCCGTGAGAAAATTTCTATGTACTCAAGCATCAAGTAGTATAACCTTTATCCAGTGTTTATTCTGTAAAGTCCTTATTGTTTGTTTCTTGGTTGATTTTGGCCTTTTCATTTACAGGCAATGGCGGATCAGATTGAACAGATGGGTAGTACAATAGAAAACCAACAAGAGGTATGCTTCTTTACTTGTTTTGCCACAATGCCTTATTTGCTTCATAATCAAGTTTCTAACAGAAAGTTTCCTGCTATGATACTAAGAAATTTGAGGACTTGCGGGGTAAGTATGATGCAGAGGTTCAACAGTGTTCTGAATTGACCAGCAAACTGGATGCTACTCAGGTGTGTTGAAGAAGTCTATTCTATTCTATTTTTTGTTTTTTTATTTTCTCTTGAAGAAGTCTCAGTTTAGAAGCATGTTGCAGAAAGACTTGAACCAAACTACTAAACTGTTGGTCAGTACTGAGGAAGAGCTAAGACAATGCCAGTATGCCCTAAAGGAACGAGATTTTATAATATCTGAACAGAAAAAAGCTGGTATGGTTGAGCAAATTTGGGTTTTGAAGTTTGCTTTATGTATGGCTTCTAAAATTCATTTTTGGGATTTTGCAGAACATGCATTGACACATCAAGCATGCGTTTTGCGCACTGACTTGGAGAGAGCTCTCCAAGACAATGCTGGATTATTTCTTAAAATTGGTACGTTGTTGAGCTGTTCAGTGATAACTTGCTAAGCTTCAGTTGGTTTATGATTGAATAACTCTGCTTGCCTCATGTTATTTGCAGCCAGAGAGGATAAACTGAGTGCTGATAATAGGTCAGTGGTAAACGGCTTCCAAGCTGAGCTTGCAAACCAGCTTGGTTCTCTTTGTAACAGAGTGGCCATGTCTATGTCCCAGCAGAGTGAACACCTTCAATGTGTTGAGAAATTCTGTCATTCGTTTCTTGAACTACATGATAAGGTAAATAACTAATAAGCAAGTTTCAAGTGTTTTTTCACCCTTCTATTATCGGTATGAAAGAAAGCCACACCATATGCTGCAAGGTTTTGTAAGGAAATGTATGCATCCCTACATTTGTTTTTGGAAGGTTATTTCTGCTTTCAATGGTTGGGCACTTTACTACTGCAACAAACACATGACCTTGTCTCTTCTAGTAACCTATATTTGAAATTTATAGCCTGTTGTTGCTCTCATTTCAATTTTCCACAAAACTTCTTCTATAGGCAATACTAGAAATGAAGAAGAAAGTCAATGATTCAAGGACCTTGTACATATCTCACTTTGGTGCCATGCAAAATGTTGTGCGGTTGCATAGTGCTAGCTCCAGTGCTGCTCTTGATGAAATATCCAGTTTGGCTTCTTCAAATGGACAGTCAATTAATGAAGTAAGCGCACACCATTGTATTCCTTTTCTATGCTTAAAGTTTGATCATTTTATATTGGGATAAGGGTGAAATAAGCCATAAGGCCATTCAATTTTTACGAAAAATGTAATTAAACGATCGAACTTTAAAAAGCTCCAAATAAGTCATTGAACTTGAAAAAATAATGCAATTAAACTCTTTTTACCTCCTATAGCAATTAACAACATGTTATAGTTAACTAAGATTTTTAAACGACAACTCATCTATTTATTGCTAATTTGGATGGTAACTATTATTATTATTATTATTATTATTATTATTATTATTATTATTATTATTATTATTATTATTATTATTTCAACCTAATTCATCCAAATTCGCCTTCATCGCTTCTTCCCCATTTTATTTTAATTCCATGTCAATCGCCGCTGCCATGGCAGCTAAGGTGAAGCTACCATAGAAACTATGGAGTTTTCATCAATGTTTGTCTTGAAAATACCGTTACTCAACTCCTTGCCTCTTTCCCATCTCTCTCCTAATCTCTTTATTTTATTTATTTATTTATTTATTTTAATTCTATAGTTTTTGACCATGGCAATCAAGGTGAAGCTAGCATGGTAGCCATGAGGAATATGGAGTTTAAAATATTATCATTGTATCATCCTTTTTTAAAGTTTCAAATTGAGGGAAGGTTCTATTACTTTAATAATAATAATAATAATAATAATAATAATAATAATAATAATAATAATAATAATAATAATTATTATTATTATTATTATAATTATAATTATAATAATAGTGGTTAATCTATTCTTTAGCTTAGTCTCTGTTAGTTTCCTACTTTTGTGGTGTACTCTTAGTATATATAGTTTCTGTAATTCACTTCAATAATACGTTAAACTTCTTCCCTTATACATTCACGTGGTATTAGCCTAATTGTCGATCCTATGGCCGAACAAGCAAATCCCACCACCACCACTCCCGTCACTAATTCCTCCACCGCCGTTGTTTCTCAATCTGATTCCCGCAACCACAACATGCTTCAACAGGCACATCATTATGTGTCTATCAAGCTGACTGCCTCGAACTACCTGTTCTGGAGAGCGCAGCTGATTCCCTTTCTCCGCGGTCAGAATCTTTACGGCTATGTCGACGGGACTACTCCGTGTCCGTCGGAATTCCTAGCCGCCGCCGCGGGGTCATCTTCGACGGGTCCAACACCGAACCCTCTGTACGCGGTTTGGATGCAGCAAGACCAGTCGATACTCAGCATGTTGATTTCGTCCTTAGCAGAAGAGGTGCTGTATCTGGCCATTGGTCATCAGACTTCTCGCTCCGTTTGGGTTGCGGTTGAAACTGCACTAGGTTCTGCGTCTCGTTCCCGTTCGTTGAGTCTGCTGACACAACTCCATGCCCTTCACCAAGGTGATTCGACGCCAGCAGCTTATCTTGGTAGAGCCCAGATTATCGTTGAGCAACTCGCACAAGCAGGCCGCCCCATAGGCCTAGATGAACAAAATCTTCACGTGTTCAGAGGATTACGTCCAGAGTACAGGTCTCTTGTTGCGTCGCTCACCACCAAGAGTGCACCGTTAACCATTCCAGAGGTTGCTGATTTACTGTCCACGCACAATTATTTATTTCCAGACGAAGCTGCACCCATGCCGTCGTCTACTCCAACTGCGATGGTGGCGCAACAGCAGCAGCCTCCCACTGGACGCGGGTGAGGACGAGCACACCGAGGCCAGAGGGGACGTGGTCAGCGTGGGCGCGGGGGAATTCGGTGTCAAATTTGCGACATCCCAGGGCACACTGCTCTAACTTGTTACAAAAGGTTCGGCGACACAACCGGTCATCGTCCAAATTTGGTGCAGTCCGGTGGTTACCCTCCCGCACCCCCACAGGTGCATGTTGCTGTTCAAGATGATCACACTACTGCACCGTTCTCCAACGTTTGGTTCCCAGACACCGGTGCCAATGCACATGCTACACCGAATGGTGATGCGTTAAATGAAGTGGAGCAGTATTCAGGTGGTGACACGCTCCGAGTTGGTGATGGCACAGGTCTGTCAATCCGAAACCAGGTTCTCTGTCTTTAAACTCACAGTCCCGGTCACTGTTTCGTGCCTCACTATTGTCTGTACAAAAATTCACCCGTGATAATGGTGTTTACTTTGAATTTCACTCATCTTATTTCGTTGTGAAGGACTGTACAACACACCAGGTTCTTCTTAGGGGTCCGAGTCAGGACGGGATGTATCCACTCCGCGTGTCTGCTCCAGTTGCGTTTGTATCTGCTAAGGCCTCTCCGAAAGTGTGGCATGAGCGTCTTGGTCACCCGCACAGTCGTGTTCTGCGTCAGGTTATCTCGAGTTGTCCCGTAGTAGGGTCCGTTAATTCTATAAATAATTTGTGTACTGCCTGCCAGATGGGTAAGTCTGCGCGCTTCCCATTGGCACGTGTAGAAAACTCAAGTCAGTCTGTCTTAGAGTTAATTTTTACAGACATCTGGGGCCCGTCTCTTGTCCCGTCAGTTGACGGTCATAAATACTTTGTATTGTTCGTCGATAATTATTCACGGTTCATGTGGATATATCCTATGAAACTCAAAACAGATATTTATTCCATTTTTCAAACGTTTCGGGTTTTAGTTGAAAAACAGTTTTCTACCTCAATTAAATGTGTACAAACTGATATGGGTGGCGAATACCGTAAGTTACACACGGTGTTTGCTGCTGCCGGGATCATGCATAGACAAACCTGCCCCCACACGCATGAACAAAATGCTCTTGTGGAGCGGCGTCATCGTCATGTGGTAGAAACCGGGTTATCTTTGTTAGCACATAGTCAGGTCCCAAAGAAATACTGGTCATACGCTTTTGAGTCTGCGGTACACCTGATAAATCGGTTGCCATCGTCAGTTTCTGGGAATAAAAGCCCATATTTCCTTTTGTTTAACAAACCACCTAACTACACAATGCTGCGTGTATTTGGGTGTGAGTGCTTTCCCTGTCTGCGTCCTTACAACTCACACAAAATGGACTATCGTTCTATTTCTTGTGTTTTTCTTGGTTACCCGGATTCCTTTAGTGGATACAGGTGTCTGGACAGATCAACTGGGCGTGTATATATTGCTCGGCACGTAAGGTTCAATGAAGCGGTTTTCCCGTTTTCGGGGACACATGAATCTGTTGCTGTGCCATCTTCGTCGCAGATACCATGGGCGACCGCTCAACTCCGACATCCGTCTCCGGTGTATTCTGTACCACCGGCACCGCCAGAACCACGTTCGTCGCCAAGTCAGTCACAACCTGTTCGCTGTACTGCCGTACCCACCTCGTCGTCGACTGCGGCGGCTGCCACCTCTTCATACCAGCCGTCCACCTCTACTACGACGACAGGCCGGCGGAGGCGTTAGCGTCCGACTGTTCGGACTCATGTCATGCAGTTGCGCACCACCACCGGAGTACAACGCCGGCCACCGCGAGCACTTGTCGCTTCTCTAGAGGACGACGAGCCTACATGTCATAGCCAGGCCGTCAAATCTACACATTGGCGCAATGCTATGGATGTAGAGTTTAACGCTCTAATCCACAATCAGACTTGGCGTCTCGTACCACCCCGACGTGACATGAACGTGATCGGGTGCAAGTGGGTGTTCCGGGTCAAAAGGAAGTCCGACGGGTCCATTGAGCGGTATAAAGCTCGGTTGGTGGCGAAGGGCTTCAACCAAGTACCGGTTAAAGACTATCTTGAGACATATAGCCCGGTTGTCAAACCGACAACCGTGCGTTTACTTTTGTCTTTTGCAGTCTCAAACAGGTGGGTCATGCGACAACTGGACGTTCACAACGCCTTTCTAAATGGGCGTGTGAGTGAAGACGTTTATATGCGGCAGCCTCCGGGGTATGTGAATCCGGCCTTTCCGAATCATGTCTGCAAGCTCGAGCGCTCTTTGTATGGTCTCAAGCAGGCTCCCCGCGCCTGGTTCACCCGACTACACAAGTTTCTGGTTCAAATTGGGTTTCGTACCTCCAAGACAGACATTTCTTTATTTATTTATGAATCTGGTGATGTGAAAGTGTACTTGTTAGTTTACGTAGACGATATTCTCGTGTTGGGAAATAGTCGTGTTGTGGTAGATGATGTGCTTTCGAAACTAGCTACTGTGTTTCGTATTAGAGACCTTGGCAGGCCTCACTATTTTTTGGGCATACAGGCTGTTGACGCGGAAGGCGGCCTGATATTGTCGCAACAACGTTACGTTATTGAGTTATTACGCAAGGCGGGAATGGAGACTTGCAAGCCATTGTCCACGCCAGTGGCTGTCACGTCGGAGGCCAGTCCGGACTCAGACGTAGTCCTAGATGATCCTACTGCTTATCGCCAACTTGTTGGCTCGCTCATGTACCTGCTCATCACTCGCCCGGACCTGTCGTTTGCAGTAAATAGGTTGTGCCAGTTCATGCACCAGCCTATGCAAATTCATTGGGTTGCTCTGAAACGTGTTCTCCGCTATGTGCAAGGCACCATGCACCTTGGCCTTCGTCTCATTCCCACGACTGATCCGGTCCTACATGCCTTTTCAGACTCAGACTGGGCTGGTTGTCCTGTTGACCGAAAGTCTACAGGTGGTTATGCAGTGTTCCTAGGCCCGAATTTACTTTCGTGGGGGTCACGCAAACAACGGACAGTAGCTCGGTCTTCCACCGAGGCAGAGTATAAAGCGTTGGCCGATGTTGCTGCTGAAGTCACCTGGGTTCAGTCTCTCCTTCGTGAACTTGGTCTGCTCCCGCCTACCGTCCCGGTGCTCTGGTGTGACAATTTAGGAGCCACCTATCTGTGCTCCAATCCAGTATTCCACGCATGCACAAAGCATGTTGAAGTCGATTATCACTTTGTCAGGGACAAAGTTACTTCTGGTGCACTTAAAGTTAATTTCGTGTCCACGCATGACTAGTTGGCGGACATCTTCACTAAACCCCTTTCGTCGGCTCGGTTCAATGAGTTACGGTTCAAGCTGGGCGTGGTACCTTGTCCCTCTTCCGCTTGAGGGGGAGTATTAGGCTAAGAGGATATTCAGGAGTAGTTAATCTATTCTTTAGCTTAGTCTCTGTTAGTTTCCTACTTTTGTGGTGTACTCTTAGTATATATAGTTTCTGTAATTCACTTCAATAATACGTTAAACTTCTTCCCTTATACATTCACGATTATAAATATAAATTATACTAGTCATCCAAATTAACAACAAATAAATGAGTTGACATTCAAAAATTTGGTGTGGGGCATCCTAATTAGCTATAATTTGTTGTTAACTTGTTATAGGAGGTAAAAAGAATTTAATTACATCAAATTTTCAAGTTCAATGACTTAATTGCATTTTTCATAAAAATTGAATGGCCTATTTGATCCTTATTCCTTTTATATTAGATTATAATAATAGGCAGATTGGTATATGTATGTTGTTCTAACACATTTCTTTCCATGATACAGTTCTTAGCTGCTGAGGCTGTTGAAACAAATAGCATTTTTGATACTCTTCAGAAAACTTTGTTGACTAACAAAGGAGAAATGGCACATTTTGTTCAAGAGCTTCGCCATGTTAGTATATTGATTTAGTTTTGTCAAGAACACCCTAATTATTGCTTCTTGATAATTTTATGTTCTTGCATCACTTCAAGCATTAAACCTCAAAGTGTTCAATTAAAAACATTTTTAATTTCAAATAATTTGAAGTTATTCACTTACTACATGCATATCTTCTTTTGAACTTAATGACTTTTATGCACTTTTTTTTTTTCTTATGTATTTAATATTTTGTAGAGATTTAGTGCCAGTACCGAGCACTTGATGAATATCTCAAAGGACATGCAAGGATTTTTTGATAAGCTTGTAGTGGAATCAAAAACACTTGGTTTTCATGCAAAGAGAGTTGATGAAATTCAAACAAAGCAAATTTTTGAATTTCAGAAGGAATATGAGGTATATTTTTAAAACGTGAGCAAAAGTGATACTGTGTAGCAGTATGGGCAAGTGCCTTACATGTGTGGGGTCTTTTTCTATAGGAACAATCAAGATCAGTGGCTGAGAAGCTTATTGCTGATGTGGCCTCTCTGGTTTACCATCACATGCATTATCAAAAAGAGTTGGTATGTTCTTTAAATTGATTGCATTTGGCATGTATTACTCTTTTGCCTTTGCAAAATATTTTAATGTTGAGGTGACAGGTGGATGAAAGGCTTGTGGAACTCAGAGAAACAGTTACCGAAAACAAGACATTTTTGGATGGACGTGTTACATCAATGGAGGGTATTACAACAGCTGCAAAACGAAAATGGTCAGATTTCTTCATGCAAGCAGGGACCAACACCAAAGACAGTGCCGACTTTTCTGCTGCAAAACATTGTCGAATCGAAGCATCACTAGAAAAATGGTAAGCTTCTAATCTTTCTTATCCTTTCACCTCCTGTGCTCGGTTCTCTGATACTCTCATTTTACTGTTGAATGATAACTAATTTCTATGGTCCTTTAGACATCCTTTGTTTTCTTCTCTCCCTGCTAACATTTTGTCAGTGTAATTCCTTACCATATTTTCTTTTTGTACAGTGTAAGCACTACCGAGACAGCTTTACAGCGGTGGCAAAGTATGTGCGAATCCATAAATGGCATGGGCAGTCAACATGTCTCAACAATTCATTCACTTGTTAGGTTAGTTTATATTGCATCATGTCTTAACCATTCTTCATTCACTTGTTAGAGGTTTGTCCTAATGTATGGTTCTGCACAAGAATTGATAACAACGGAAAATAAATTATGGACTTGCTAAAATTGAATTCATTAATACTTTGTTCATCTTACATCAGGATAAACCTTATGTTGTTTGGTTTAGAAAGAAATCTAGCAGCACTTTATCACAAATTTTCAACCTTTGTGCTGTGCTTCTGTTTCAGGAATACATGTGATAGTAACAAGCATCACATGACAGAGTTTAACTCTGCAAGAGAGGCTGCTGAAGAAGACATTAAGAGAAATAGTGATGATGTTATTCAATTCTTTGATGGTAAATTTCAAAAAACTAAAAATTCTTCTACAAATGTTTACAACAATTTACTTCAGCATGCATAGTATAAACACAGTTTCAGCAGCAGGCCAATTTTCTTTTCTTCCTTTTCCTTTAGCTGGCTGCTGTGATCATTGTATTATAACTTTGTTGATGTGATTATTGAATGGTGTGATTACTCTTTCTTTAATGGGGCCTTTGTGGCTTTTCCATTATAATCTCAGGGTTGTCAGAGCAAGAGAGGGGATCTATATCAGGTATACTGAGTACTACCAGTGCACATTCTGGAACACTAGAAGAACTCCAGAAAGATCACTCTAAGCAGGCAGCTTCCATAGAGCAAAATGCTTGTGCAACATTCCAGCAGAGATATATGGTATGTGTTGATCAAGAGTATCAATCTAACATCAGTGTTTGTGGCTGAGCGAGCATCTATCATGTTATCTTTGTTTGATTAATGTTATAATCTAAATTGGGCTTGGATGCCACCAATACCATGAGTAGACAACTGGGTGAACACAAAGTGGACCGAACAGGCTTTGATACCAATCACATATTGAATTCAATCAATTAGCTAGTCTAACTCATGTCCTTATAAACCCATATGTTTTTTCTCTTATATTTTCAATGTGAACTCTTGACATAACTTGAATAATTCCCAGGATTATGAGCCAACTGGAACATCACCAGTAAGGTTTGAGCCTGATGTTCCAAGCAAAGGCAATATTGAATCACTCCGACCAATGTCCATGGAGATGCTACAGGAGGAATTCCGGGAGAACCATTCGTATGAGTCCTTTCAAGTTAAGGAGGAAGCAAAGGCACCACCACCATCACTAATCCCGCGTTCTCCTCTCTCACAGATCAACCAGTAGGGGAAGGATATTCATTTAAGGTCTTGCATGGTACTTAACATATCTAACTGTATTCTCTTGTCTTGTATATGAGAGGCAGTGCTGTAGCCTGTAAGCTTTCATAATTTTAATGGAATCCCTTCTTGGGATTCCTAAAATGCTGTAAATTTTGGATGGTCTGGGGGAAGATAAAAAAAATCCTTTCTTGATAGTTGAGAGGCAGTTATGTATTTGTTAAGGAAATGTAATGTGACAAATTAATCTCTCATAATGTTGTGTAGTTCTAGTTGATACTTTATTTCCATAGAAAAGATTTGAAGTAGTGCTAGCTAGGATCATCTGTAAACTTTAGATATTGAACAGTGTGTGATTGCAGGTTTATCATTAAATAAACTCTACTTGCTTTGTCAGCTAGAGAGGTTAGGTTAAATTGAGTTGGCCATGGTTCCAATAACTATAGTTGTGGGACTAGGGTCTACCTTGCAAGATAGATCTTGATTTTAAATGGTGTATTTTTAGTATTGGAATTGTGAACTTTTAGAATATAAATTGTGTTTCTAAATTAAGAATTTGTGAATACAATATATGATCATCACAAATTGTGAATTTTTAAAAGGTAAATTATGAACATTTAATATGTAAATTGTGTATCTTTGAACTCGAATTTATTTTGTAAGGTGGATATGGATCTGCAGAATAATTTGTCCAATAACTAAGATCTCAAAGGACATGCAAGGGATTTTAGAGGAATTGGAAAAAAAAAGAAAAGCTTATTAGTAAAAAAATTCAAATATTTACCCTTTCTTGTAATTATATATATATATTTTTTGAATGCTACTAGCTCTATTACATTGTAGTATCTGTTCATATACTTTCTCAACCTACTGAAACACAAAGAGCGAGCTAATAACGCCTCCACTGAGGCTTGAACTTACAACCTTCCAAATGGAAGTCCAACCCGGGTACCATTGGACCACATATTTAAACATTTAAAATATGACAATTTAATGTTAAACATTTACATTTATAGTAACTTTAGTCCCTTGATTATCCCTCATTTTCAATTTTACATTGAGTTAATACCCAAAATGGTCCCTCAACTATGCCATAATTACCAATTTGGTCCTCAACTATCATTCTTACCCAATTAAATCCTCAACTATGTAACTTTTACTCAATTAAGTCCTCAACTATACAATTCTTACCCAATTTAGTCCTCAACTATACAATTCTTACCCAATTTAGTCCTCAACTATACAATTCTTACCCAATTTAGTACTCTGTATTAATTTGACTGTTTGTTGACTGTCAAAAGTCGGGATAAAATTATAATTTTACAAGATTTCTCCTTCCTCTCCATTTAGCAGCGCCAAACCATGCAGCAATACACTCTGATCAGATTTTGATCGTCAAAAAATCGTTGGAAATCAAATTCATGGGCTATCCGATGCATAACCACTACTTCGATACTGACAGGTTTAGAACCCAACCGGAGCTTATTGCTACATGGTTTGGCGCTGCTAAATGAGGAGGAAGGAGAAAATTTGTAAAATTACAATTTTATTTTCACTTTTGACAGTCAACAAACAGTCAAATTGACAAAGGACTAAATTGAGTAAAAATTGTATAGTTGAGGACTTAATTGGGTAAGAATGATAATCGAGGACCAAATTGATAATTACGACATAGTCGAGGGACTATTTTGGGTATTAACTCTTTTACATTTGACTTTCAATTACATCTAATGTAGTTCTTGACTTTTAAAAAATATCTTGTCCTCCATTAACTTTTTCGTCAATTAAGTGTTAAGATTTGGGATATTTCCGTCCATTCACCTCATTCGCGCCTATTACAACAGTTGTTCGCCTCTCCCCTCGCCGTTCCTTTTGTTTTACGTTCAGAAATTAACCCCAAATAAAAAATAAAAAACCCTAAAATCTAAAAATGCTAATAGAGTGTGTGAAGCATCTTCCCAAATCACAGCATTGACATTGCAGATGACTAATCTTCAAGAACAAGTGGATACCTTACTTGCTTAGAAATGTGAATCAGATGTCCTAGTTGAAAAGAAGATTGGAGAGATATCAGAATAGCTTAGCTTGTTGAGGTAGAAAATCTTAAAAGGGAATTAGCAAGTAAAACTATAGATGTACAGAGAATGCTAGAAGAGAAGGAAGGTCTGATGGTGCAGGTAAAGGACCTTGAAGAGGAAGTTAAGTCTCGAGGTGAACAGATTCACAAATTGGAAGAGCATATAAGGGAGGAGGAGGCTTAGAATAACAAAGATGGAGAATACACTGAGAAAGGGGTTGAAATCTTTGCACTGCGAAAGAAGTTGGATGATATGATGCACATAGTGAAGACACCACCCGAATTTTTAACTTGACAGAAGAATGTCGATCTCCGGCCACAGATGTTTCCGTTGTATTGTCCATATTTTGTCTCATGACTTAGAACCTTAGTCCTTAGATGGTATACTGGTGTCTACTGAGCAGTAACTGAATGTGCTATATAATATATATCTTGTATCTCAACAATTCAGATTTATATTAGGCACAGAGTTTGGTTGACTTTCAAATTGTTTAGTCTAACCAAACCACTTAATAAGCATAGTCAACTTGCACCACTTAATTAAGATCATAATATATAATATATATTATTAAGGAAAATCTTACATTCTCCCACTTGGGGCAAATACTAGCACCACATTTATCAAAGAACAAACATACAAATCATAGTGACATGTCCTCTATTTAATCAGAGTAGTATTATGGTCACATGCATTTTAATTCTCTAACTTAGGTCATTTATGAACAAACCCAATGTTTATTCTCAGTATCTTTTAAAGGATGTTTCTCAAAATATATTATGTGCACAACTGAAACAGAAACACATCCAAATTGTGCAAAAGAGTACATTGTATGATCTCTGAAACCTTAGAAGCATGCCTTAAGTAGATTTTTTTTTTTTTTTTTTTTTTTTTTTTTAAGTAGAGATCTCTTAATGTTAGCATCATCTATATTCTATGACTTCTTTATAAGTTAACAAAAACACTGCCTCTAACGGCTAAGAGCTTGGGTTGACACGTCTGTCACTCCCACTCATCAAAATAGCCAAAAGATAGTCAAGTCACAGAAGCATTCCAATAACTTAGACAACAAACCAAAAATCTAAGTCCATAAATTTAGAATCTTAAACATACACCATAACTTTCCAAATAACATCAATGTTCACTTTAGACGAACTGAACATAATGAGTCTTACTAGCAAATTATGTTGTGCAACATGCATGATGCACACAGGTCTAGATTCATAATTTCTATACTGTAGATTCATAATTTCTATATTGTGGATTCATAAAATCTATACTGTAGATTCATAATTTTATAAATATATGTTCATAATTATAGAGGTATATGTTCATAATTTTTTATGTTCATATCCCCAATTGTTGAACTCTGTATTCACAAATCACATAATTATATGTTCATAATTTGATAACTATACATTTTAGAAATTATGAATCTACAGTACAGAAATTATGAATCTACAGTACAGATATTATGAATCTGCAGTATAGAAATTATGAATATACTGTATTGAAATTATGAATCTACTATATTTAAATTATGAATCTACGATTTATAAATTATGAATCTCCAGTATAGATTTTATGAATCTACAACATATAAATTATGAATCTACAGTATAGAAATTATGAATCTAGACCCGTGTGCACCATGCATGGTGCACACAGTTGCACAACATAACAATTGAGTCTTACTTATATGTCTCACAAAATTATTTTGAACCTTAAAAACCAAAATAACCCAGGATCAATTTTGCAAATGCAACAACTAAATTTTTGGCCGTTGCACCGACCGTCTAGCCTAGCCTCCGGTAGAAGCTACTTGCAACGTGCAACGACCAAATTAATTTGGCCGTTGCAAGTTGTAGGCCTAACTAATGCTAATTTAGCCAGCTGCCACATTGTGGCAGCTTGCCAAAATGACTATCTTTTAAGCCATGGCAGCTTTTGCTGTCATGGCTGCGTTTGCCTGGGCCTGGGCCGTGCTTGGGTTTGGGCCGGTTTCATGTCGGGTCCCGATTTTTTTTTAATGACTTGAACCGACACTTAACAAGTTAGTTCTGATTCGGGCTAAGCCTGGTCTAAGCCTAATGAAGTCCATGCCCACTTTCTCCCGGGCTGGTTCAGGGTTGGTTCGACTTTGAACAGGTCCGTGGCCACCTTTATCAGAAATATAGTTACAGGTGGCTAGAATTTTGATTAGAAGGACCAAATGTTTTAGGAATTTAAAAGTCATGGGACTAAATTTATAAATTTTAATAGTTAGGGAGCAAATGTGGAAATGGTCTCATACGGGATCAAAAGTGAAAATTTCTCTAATTACATATTTACATAATCCCTCCCCAGCTTCGTAGAATCGCAACTTCCCACTTTCCCAACTTCGTGTCTTCATCTCGTACCTTCTTCACCGACGGCTTCAATGCGTCATTGGCAGAATATCACAACCTTGGATGCAATTAGAAATCAACAACAAAGAAGTTACGAAAATCTGAGAAGAGAGGTAGGGAATAGAGAGAATTTGAAGAAAGTCATTTTTGTTTCTTCCAACAGCCCCATTCATAACACAGAACCGCAGAAACGACGCAGAACTACAGTCCGTGAGCTATTCCGGTGTGTCGCAGCTAGAAACGACGTTGCAAACTCATACTCCGTCATAAGGCTGGGCATTTCGGTTCGGTCTTAAATTGAAGTACCAATTGGTACTTGGTTTAACGAAACCGTTCGGTTCGATTCGTTTAAAACCCGAACCGAATCGGAAAAGCGATCGTTTATTTTAATAATACATATATATATATATATATATATATATATATATATATATATATATATATATATATATATATATATATATATATATATAGATTTTGGTTCATGTGAGGTCATGTCTTACCGTGCGGTCAGTGCGGCATACATCATTGTATAAATGCACCATACAGTGTTCGAAAATACACCAGAATGAAATGTCAAAAAATACACCACAAAAAAAAAAATACACCACACATAATGGTGTATTTTCGAACACTGTGTGGTGCATTTTTACATACCTAATGGTGTATGCCGCACTGACCGCACGGGAAGACCTGACCTCACAGGAACCTGATATATATATACTATACTAATAAGAGCCCAAGAGAGTTAGGCCTATAATGGGTAAAAAAAATGGCGGTCACAGATTTTAATCAAATGTATGGCTCAGATTGATTAAAAAGATTGATCAGATTTAAATTTTACACTAAAATTTCCTAAAATACCACACACCGTTACTAATTCCGTTAAAATTTTAAGAATTGCCGTTAATTCACCGTTAACTTACTCATTGAT